AACCCACCATCATCTCAACCCACCATCACCTCAACCCACCATCAGCTCAACCCACCATCACCTCAACCCACCATCACCTCAAACCACCATCACCTCCACCCTCCCCCCATCACTTCAGCCCTCCCTCATCTCAACCCCCCATCACTTCAGCCCTCCCTCATCTCAACCCACCATCATCTCAACCCACCATCACCTCAACCCACCATCATCTCAACCCACCATCACCTCAACCCACCATCACTTCAGCCCTCCCTCACCTCAACCCACCATCACTTCAGCCCTCCCTCACCTCAAACCACCATCACTTCAGCCCTCCCTCACCTCAACCCACCATCACTTCAGCCCTCCCTCACCTCAACCCACCATCACTTCAGCCCTTCCTCACCTCAACCCCCATCACTTCAGCCCTCCCTCATCTCAACCCACCATCACTTCAGCCCTCCCTCATCTCAACCCACCATCATCTCAACCCACCATCACCTCAACCCACCATCATCTCAACCCACCATCACCTCAACCCACCATCACTTCAGCCCTCCCTCACCTCAACCCACCATCACTTCAGCCCTCCCTCACCTCAACCCACCATCACTTCAGCCCTCCCTCACCTCAACCGACCATCACCTCAGCCCTCCCTCATCCCAACCCCCCATCACTTCAGCCCTCCCTCATCTCAACCCACCATCATCTCAACCCACCATCACCTCAACCCACCATCACCTCAACCCACCATCACTTCAGCCACCCCTCACCTCAACCCACCATCACTTCAGCCCTCCCTCATCTCAAACCGACCATCACCTCAGCCCTCCCTCATCTCAACCCACCATCACTTCAGCCCTCCCTCATCTCAACCCACCATCATCTCAACCCACCATCACCTCAACCCGCCATCACTTCAGCCCCCCCCATCACCTCAACCCACCATCACCTCAACCCTCATGTGCTTGTGGTGTCAAGGATTGTATGGAACATTGTCTGTAGTTTTATTTTGTCTTAGTTCAAGCCAGCCATACCTCAAAGTTTTTATATCCTTTTGACATCTCAGAAGCCATTAACTTCTTTTTTCAGTTATAGAAAATTTAAACTTATTCCCTGTTGGTATTTTAAAACAAAGAAAAATGTTTATTTTTACTTTTTACAAGGCTCAAAACAATCAAACTACCATGAAACAATTTTTAAAAATATTTTTAGATGCAACCCGACATTTTACAAAGAGCGAGGACTTTGCCGATCTGAAATCCCTGCCGGGTCTGAGTGCAACCGCACGGAGCAGTGTGCAACTTCCTCCCAGTGTCTTCTCAATGACACCAATGGAGTCAAGGAATGTCAATGTAATGACGCCTTCTATAACGAGGAGGGGAGATGTCTGAAGGTAGGATAAGTCTTTCTTTTTTCAGTAGTTCTCAAATATTCTGAATTCTTGTTGAAATGTTGAATTTTAATCAAATTAGTGCTATCAACATTGGGAATATTTCACACCATGAATTTTTCAAGCAGAACACATATTTTAAATAGGGTCTCATGATGTAAGATGAGATAAGTTAAAACAAGATAAGATTTGTTTACTGATTAAAATAAATAGAAAAGTTTTTTTTATTACATTGTATATATTCATTTTCAGCACACAAATAAATACATACCTAGACAACATTCTATAATTATAACAGTTTAAACACAAGACATCTAAAGTATTTCTCTAGCGTAGAAATCAGCCGTCAATGAACTTCTTTGGTGACAATAATGATTGAATTAGCAATCATTTATGTAGACTCCAGAATAAAATTTCTTGTATTTCTTTTTTTTTTCTTCTATCCATAAATTTTACATTTTTACAAAAAATTATTGTATGAATTATAGATTGAAACTAAACGGATTTAATTTCAAGACATTGCATGTCCACGGTTAAGTACATAGGTACATAGAGAAAAATACTCAATTACTGGTGTAAAGGGTATCATTTTTAAGGGTTGTTATATTTTTATATTAAGAGACCAAATGGTTGTTATTTTTTACATTAGACTCAGTAACTGTTTGGTTTTAAAATTGACAGTGAACGAGACTATTGTTTTCATCTTTCTTACACTGTTGCGCACTGACCTCTTACACTGTGGTGCACTCACCTTGCTAAAATTTCTCAAGAGCATCTGTGCATTCACTCTCTACCCACTTCCTATATCCAGGACATCCCGGTGGGTCTGACCTGTGATGCCACCTACAAGTGCACAACGCACGCCACCTGCTCCTTCAACGGTTTCATCATGGCCTGCACCTGCGACCCTGAGTACTACGAGAGGGGCGGCCTGTGTGAGAAGAGGAAGAATGTAACCATCCCGTGCAGCGCCCCTGGCCAATGCGTCACAGGGGCAGAGTGTAAACTTGTGGGGCTCAGGTGGGCATCCATTTAGGGGCAGCAGGCAATACAGCCTGGTCAGCTTATGTGAAGACTGTTTTGTTAAATAACTATTCAACAATACAGCAGTTCAGCTTATTTAAAGACTGTTTGGTTAAATAACTATTATTTTTTTAAAATGTTTAGTGTCATCTTTTGTTTTGGATCTTTTTGTGCTCTTGCAGTTTGTATTTTTTTTATTTTGCTCTTTGTTTTCTTACTAATTACAACTGCCTTTTCGGAGTTGCTTCAAAAAGCTAATATCAAAGTGTAAATGACATCATTTTAACTGCTAATTTACTTCCCAACTTTTAAAAAATGTAGATGTCCAACCACGTGGAAGTAATACTTTAATAAATCTGTTCACCCAGAGCCGAGTGCCAGTGCACACCAGAGTACTACCAGCAAGACCTGACCTGTGTGAAGCGCATCCCGCCGAGCAACACCTGCACAGCCCTTGGCCAGTGCGTGAAAAACGCAGAGTGCCAGATTGGTTCCAATGGCACCGCTGGTGCGTGTGAGTGCACCGCTGGGTACTACCGGGTCGGGGAGGCCTGCATACTGCTTGTGAATGCTGGTGAACCTTGTCTGGTAACAATTCTTTCTTTCTGTACTGATGGGGTGGTAGCTGTTGGTAATGATGGGGTGTTAGCTGTTGGTACTGGTGGGGTGTTAGCTGTTGGTACTGGTGGGGAGTTAGCTGTTGGTAATGGTGGGGTGTTAGCTGTTGGTACTGGTGGGGTTTAAGCTGTTGGCACTGCTCGGGTGTTAGCTGTTGGTACTGGTGGGGTTTAAGCTGTTGGCACTGTTCGGGTGTTAGCTGTTGGTACTGGTGGGGTTTAAGCTGTTGGCACTGTTCGGGTGTTAGCTGTTGGTACTGGTGGGGTTTTAAGCTGTTGGTAATGGTGGGGTGTTAGCTGTCGGTAATGGTGGGGGGGCTAGCTGTTGGTAATGGTGGGGTGTTAGCTGTCGGTAATGATGGGGAGGGTTAGCTGTTGGTAATGTTGGGATGTTAGCTATTGGTACTGTGGAAGAAATGTATGTCATTTAATTAGTCCACGAGCCCATAAATTATAAGCTAGTATAATTAAAAATCAATAATAATTTAATAAAATTTAATAATCAAAAATTAATTATAATTTAATGAAATTTAATAATCACTTATGCAAAAATAATATAAATTTGTCATCGTATACAATTTCATGGCAACTTTATTATTCTTACAGTGGTCTTATATAGCGCAGTTCCACTGCCTAGGGCTGGGCTCACCGTGCTGCACATAACAATATCAGCAAACATAATCATGACCTTTAAAAGAAGGAAAAAAAATCACATACAAATATTTATTAAAAAACAGCTGTCTAAAAACAAAATATATTTATTCACCCCGCCCGCCCCAGAACTATTTTCAAGTCAAGCCATGGACAGCAGCATCGTTTATCAGTCACATGAGGGGGTGGGATCAGTCAGGATAGTAGAGTTTGGAGCCCCCAAGCCCCCCCCCTCTCCCCCGGCTCTAGTCAGCATTTCCATCCCAAAAATGGCATGTCAATAAAGAGGCATTTGCCACAAACCCTCTGAAACTTTACCCAGGGAACAGTATCAACGTGTAGGGGACCTGTGCTCGAAGGCAAAGGTAACGCACGGAAACTGTGTTAGAAAGAGCACAGCTGCATTGGTTACTACTAAGTACAGTCGAAAATAATGCAGAAACAAGTTGGGACATGATTACACTTGTATGGATATGAGGTGAGGCACGTGGAGACCTTCACCGATGATTCCAAATATGCAGTCTTTGAGGGTACTGCTCCTAGGCAACCTCTTTCTCTCCCATTGCGGTTTGAGATAGTCACATTGCATAAAACCATGTAAAACCTATTAGAGGGCGTCTGTTAAACACCTATGCATCCCCCCGGCGTAGGAAAGGGGGGACTTAGAGACGTAAAATATATTCACCCCAGCCCCTTGAAAGTCTGTCGTGGTTGCTATGGGTGCAGCACCACGGCCGGCCAGGTGTTCCTTCTCTGAAGCTGGCTCACTCGCATAGTCAATCGATTGGAAGGGTGGGTGTGGCAGTCGCAGGGGCGGAATGCCCCCGCGTGCTGCTTCACGGGCCGACTGGAATAAAGACCACTCAAGGAGTGGATGAGGGCCAATGGGGTTTGCAGGGGAGGGCACTGTGGAAAACTTTATGAGCTCTGACTCAATGGTTTGCTGATTTTCTTAAGTAAGTTAGTTAGTAGAGTTTGAAGAGATGTGTCTTGAGTGCAGCTTTGAAGTAATCAATGAAAATATTTCTTATTTTTGGAAACAAAATCAAGTTATCAGTTATACATTTAATTATTTAGTTGTTTAAAAATAAACATTATGTTATGCTCTGTTAGGGAAAAAAACACTTTTTGTGAACTTATTTAAAAGTTTAACTATTTAACCTAAAAAGTGCAATATCTAAATGCTTCCACAGGTTGAGGGTTCATGTGTTGAGAATGCAGCGTGTGAGGCTGTCCCAGGGGGCAGAATCTGTCAGTGCTCCCTGGATTACTACCAGGAGGGGCCTAAATGTTTGAAGAGGATCAACGCCACCCTCCCTTGCATCAGAATCGATCAGTGCATCGACAATGCCGATTGTGTGCGGGACAACTCGCGAAAACCTCGTGCGACATTCACCTGCACGTGCAAAGAAGGTTTCTACACGTCTGATGATAAAACATGTGAAGCCCTGATCAATGCAACGCTTCCCTGCACATCTATTGGACAGTGCATTTCGGGGGCTGAGTGTCTGGGAGTAGAAGGGAATCAGTCATGTCAGTGTCACGAGGAATTCTACCAAGAAGATGGTCAGTGTTTTCACTTGAAAAATGCCAGTCAGCCATGTTCCAATAAAGGCCAGTGCATACCTGCTGCGGAATGTGTTGGGCATTCCCCTTCCGTCAACGGATCCTGCACTTGCAACACAGGGTTCTATCAGGACGGGCCAGACTGCAGAAAGCTGATTAACGCAACATTGGCTTGCATCGACACATACCAGTGCATCGCCGGAGCCAGGTGCACCGAGAAAAATGGCAAACGCAGGTGTGAATGTGAGAAGGAATTCTATGAGGATGAGATGCTGTGCAAACCGCTTGTCAATGCCAGCAGCCCTTGTTTCAGACCTGGCCAGTGCATAGAAGGGGCCGAGTGTCTCAGTGATGAACCGGACCCCACCAGTATGGTTTGTAGATGTTCCTCAGATTACTATGAAGATTTTAACAATCTCTGTCAAGAACTGATCAATGCAAGCAGGCCTTGCGATGGGGACTTCCAGTGCATCAAAGGATCTCAGTGTAAGGAAATTGCCCCCAGTGTAAAAAACTGTATGTGCCAGGAAGGATTTTATTTTGAAGACAATTTCAACAAATGCCAACTGCTGATTAATGCCAGCAGCCCGTGCACTGATGTGGGTCAGTGTGTCTTTGGTGCAGAATGTGCCAGAAATCAGACCTCCGGAAACATGAACTGTGCCTGCCAGATTGGATTCTATGAAGACCCGAGAGATGACCTGTGTAAAGTTTTGAAAAACGTCTCATCCCCTTGTGAGTGGTCCTCGCAATGCGTGGTTGGGGCACAGTGTGTAAACGTCAGCGGCACGCCAGTTTGTTCTTGTTTGGATGACATCTACTACTCCGATGACAGCATATGCAAGGTACGCATCAACGCCACGTTGCCTTGCCTGGAAGACAGACAGTGCACCAGAGGAGCCGCTTGCTCAGATATCAGCCCAGTGCAGGACGGCTCAAATTTAACCTGCCAGTGTCTGCCTGGACTCTACTTGGATCTGTTTTCATGTCACCCATTAAAGAACGCCACAAGACCCTGCTCATCAAAAGGACAGTGCATCGAAGGCGCAGAGTGTTTGGGCCTAACTGGCAATCAAACTTGTGTTTGTTTGGACAATTTTTACCAAGATGGTCTTAAGTGCGAGCCGCTGAAGAATGCAACATCTCCTTGTTTGGACAGTCGGGAGTGCATCAAGGAAGCCGAATGCAAGACTGAGCCATTTACAATGAAATCGATTTGTTTGTGTAAGAAAGGTTTCTATGAAGAGGACACAGCGTGTAAGGTGGTTATCAATGCTACCTTACCCTGCACTGAGTTGGGACAGTGTATAGATGGCGCTGAGTGTCAGGCCACTTCAGGCGGGATGGCCTGTCAGTGCCTCGACTCTCACTACACAGATGGACTCGACTGCCTGCCGTTGAAAAATGCCTCCAGAGAATGCACGGCGGACGGTCAGTGTATCGTTGGGGCTGCCTGCGTCGAGCCACCCTCAAACGCGAGCTCGGGCAGCATGCTGTGTCTGTGCCTGGACGGCTTCTACCAAAAAGGAGACGTTTGCAACAAGCTCATCAATGCCACAGAGTCGTGTGAGCAGGGTGATGCGTGTGTGGTGGGGGCTGTTTGTGGTCACAAAAACACATCCAGTCCTGTCCTCCAGGGCCAGGCGGGAAGCTGCGTGTGCACCAAAGAGTTCTACAGAGAGGGAAAGATCTGCCTGCCCTTAAAAAACGCATCGGAAGAGTGTTTGTTTGATCACCAGTGTGTCAAGGGTGCTAAGTGTCTGCGTCCTTTTGATGCTCAGACGTGTACATGTGTTGGAGAGTACTTCCAGTATGATAATATATGCAAGCGTTATGTCAATGCGTCAGACCCATGTGACTTCAAAGATAAATGTGTCAAAAATGCTGTGTGCACGGCGAATCTGTTAGGAGATTTATTTTGTGGATGCTTGGCTGAATACTACGAGGAGAACCAGAAATGTGTGAAAAGGATAGACACCGGACTGCCCTGTGAACGGAACGGGACGTGCACAATTGGAGCAGAATGTGATGTCAACATGAAATGCACCTGCACCGGAGAGTTCTACCCAGTTGGTGCGGGCTGCATACCCTTGATCAATGCCTCTCAGCCCTGCGACGTCACTGAGCACTGCGTGGACAACGCACTGTGCGCAGGCAGGCCGGCCCTCTGCGAGTGCAAGAAGGAATTTTTCGAGACCAATGGCAAATGTAAACAGAGCATCGATGCCGGTGACGTGTGTCCAAAAGTCGGCACCTGCACATCCAATGCAGAGTGCAATGTAACGGGGAAGGGCGTGTGCGAGTGCCTGGAGGGATTCTATGAAGAACAAGGGGATTGCAAAGAGCTGATCAAGGTGGATGATCTGTGCTCAGGTCCTGGCCAGTGCGTGTTCAACGCCTCGTGCGACCCACTTATAATGCTGTGTAAATGTGAAGAAGGTTTCTACTCTCAAGACGGCCTCTGCCAAGTCCTGAGAAAGCCCAAGGAAAACTGCACACTCAGTAAACAATGTACGGCCAATGCTGAATGTGCTATAAACTCCACCAAACTCTGTGAATGCCTCCCAGATTTTTATCAGTCTGGCATGTCGTGTGAGAAAAGACTCAACACATCCATGTCATGCAACTCCACAGCTCAGTGTGTTCATCATGCTTCCTGCAATGCCAGCTCCGTGCCCAGCACATGTCTCTGCGACGCAGGCTTCTATGAGAAAAATGGACTCTGTTTTGCTGTAATCAAAGCGGAGGAGCCGTGCGAACCGGGCTTGTTGGCCCAGTGTGTTGACAATGCCGAATGCAACCTGGCCACCAGAAGGTGTCAGTGCGGAGACTCATTCTACAACGACACCGGAGACTGTTACAGGCTGAAACTACCAAGCCAGCCTTGCAACCAAACTGGTCAGTGTGTTAGCCACGCTCTGTGCTCTGCCACTTTAATGGTTTGTCAATGTGAAATGGGTTTCTACGAATCAAATGAAGGCTCTTGTGAACTGTTGATAGAGACAGGGAAACCCTGTAACAAAACGGGACAGTGTGTGCACAATGCCAGCTGCTCTGCTGCCGGGCAGTGTGAATGCGACACTGGTTTCTACAACGCATCCAGTCACTGTGATAAGCTTATAGACGCGGGGTCCGCGTGCAATGAAAGCTGGCAATGCACGTTCAATGCCAGCTGTCCTGCTGCCTCAAGGGTGTGCGAGTGTGGGGCAGACTTTTACCCGGATGACGGCAGGTGTGAAGAGCTCATCAAAGCCAGGCAAAACTGCACCGAAACCAGGCAATGCACGCACAAGGCCGAGTGTTCCGCTGCCACTTCCAAATGCAAGTGTTCCAAGGGTTTCTATGACGACAAGTTTGGCATCTGTGTGGATTTGATCAAATCGAGCGTGAAGTGCGAGGAGACCCGCCAGTGCACGTTTAACTCCAGCTGTTCTATGGACACCGACACTTGTGAGTGCATCTATGGATTCTATACCAACACCAACTTTGAATGCGATGAGTTGAAGAAGGTTGGGGACCCTTGTAATGGGACTGAGCAATGCACATTCAATTCTCAGTGTGGAGCCAACAGTCAGGGACAGACTGTGTGCATGTGTGACAAGGAATACTATGATTTTAACGGCCAGTGCATCAGTCTGATCCCAGGTTCACAGCCTTGTAATGAGAGCAGGCAGTGCACCCACAATGCATCATGTGACCCAGGTTTAAGACGTTGCAAGTGCGGAGTGGGTTTCTACGAGAACGATTCGGGCGGGTGCGTTGAGCTGATCATAGCGGGCGTGTTGTGTAACAGCACAAGCCAGTGTGTGGAGTTTGCCAACTGTGAGGGTGAGCCAGCCACTTGTGAATGCATTGATGGCTACTTCAGTCAGTTAGGCCACTGCACAAACTTAGTCAAGATTGGTCAGGCGTGCAATGAAACCAGACAGTGCGTGGCCAATTCTGACTGCCTCGGCAACCTGAAGGGAGACAAGGTCTGCCAGTGTCGTGGTGATTTCTACGATGATCTTGGAGTATGCCACGAGAAAATTGACGCCGCCGGCAACTGCACGGAATCCAGGCAGTGCACCAACAACTCTGTTTGCTCAAACAACACACGGATCTGTGAGTGTTTAGGGGATTTCTACAATGAAACAGGTTCTTGTTTGCCACGTGCACCCGTCGATGAAAGATGCTCCCAGAGCTACCAGTGCACTCAGTTTGCCAACTGCACGGGCAAGGGTGTCTGTGAATGCCATGCCAAATACTACAACTCCAGCGGCGCATGCAAGGAACGTGTGGGAGCTGAGAAAACAATATGTGAAACGAGCCACATGTGTGTTGAGAATGCTGCATGCGACACAGCAACAGGCACATGTAAATGCCTGCCAGATTTTTATGATGACGCAGGTTTGTGCTTTAAACGGATCGAGGCCAGCCTGAACTGTAACCAGACAAACCAGTGCACACTGAACTCAACCTGTAACAGTTTGGGTGTCTGTGAATGTGACAACAGTTTTTATAACGACACTGGTCACTGTGTTGAGAGGATCCAGACAGACCAGCCATGTGGGACAAAGCATCAGTGCACACATTCCAGTGATTGTGATGGTGTGTTGCAAGTGTGCAAATGTTTTCCTGAGTACTACAACACATCTGGAGCGTGCATCAAGCGGGTGGAAGCTGAAGACACCTGTGGTCAGACCCACGAATGCACACATTTTGCAAACTGCGAGCCTCCTGGCAAATGCAAATGCCTGCTCAACTACTTCAACAGTTCTGGCGTGTGCCTTGAACGCACTCCTGTGCAGCAAAGCTGCAACACAACCCACCAGTGCACGCGCTTCTCCAACTGCTCCAAAGAAGGTGTGTGCGAATGCCTTCCGGATTATTTCAATTCATCATTAGTCTGTGAGCCCAGAATCCCCGTCGATGTCACTTGCAGCAGCACACACCAATGCACCAACAATGCTGTGTGTGATCCACTTACCAAGACCTGCCAGTGTGTACCCAGTTTTTATCACGAGAAAGGCCTTTGCCTGCCGAGACAGGAGGCTGAAGAAAAGTGCAGTGCCACCTACGAGTGTGCCCTCAATTCAACATGCACCAAAGGAGTCTGCAAGTGTGACAACCAGTTTTACAATGCATCCGGGGTCTGCTTCTTGAAGATCGAAGCTGAGAAACCCTGCAACCACACGCATCAGTGCACCCACAACGCCGAGTGCGGTCAAGACCTGGAAGTTTGCAAATGCCAGCGTGGCTTCTACAATGAGAGCGGTGAATGTAAGACTAGGATTTTTACAGATGGCAAGTGTAAGGAAAGTTATGAGTGCACTCACAATGCCGTCTGCTCTGCGGGCACGGGCACATGCACATGTGTCGACGAATATTACAAACAATCAGGGGTGTGTGTTTTAAGGGTCAATGTGAGCAGCCCGTGTGCACAGACACACCAGTGCACTGCACACGCTTACTGTGACAGGTTGACAGACACCTGCATCTGCCACCCAGACTTCTACAACCAGTCGGGCCAGTGTCTGTCACGTAAACTCAGCGGAGTGATATGTTTCTCCACGCACGAATGCACGCACCATGCCAGCTGTGATGAGGGCAGCGGTTCCTGCGAGTGCCATCCAAGTTTCTACAACATGTCCGGGCTGTGCTTTGACAGGGTCGACGCCGGAGCAAAATGTGCCGATACCCACCAGTGTACCAACAACTCCTACTGCAATCCCGTCAGCAGCTCGTGTGAATGCTTCACCGACTTCTACAGTGAGAAAGGCAAGTGTTTGAACAGAGTTCAAGCAGAGGGCGACTGCACAGGAACTTACCAGTGTACCCACAATTCAACCTGCTCCAAGCTGGAAGATGTCTGCAAGTGCCAGTCAGACTTCTACAATCAAGGGGGTCTTTGTTTAGAGCGCATAGACGCCGGTGAGGTCTGTAACAACACGAACCAGTGCACGCACAATTCTGTTTGCAATGCTGAGACCAACATCTGCAAATGTTTTCATGAGTTTTTCAATGAAACTGGTGACTGTAAGCCCAGGAAAAGTGCCCAGCAGCCTTGCCAGGAGTCCTACCAGTGCACACATAATGCTGTGTGCGACCCGGCCAAGAAGGTGTGTCAGTGTGTTGAGGCGTTCTACAATGAGACTGCCGGGAACTGCATGCCGAGAGTGAGGTCAAACTCCAAATGTCAGTTCACTTACCAGTGTGTTCACAATGCCCACTGTGACCTGTTCACCACCAAATGCATCTGCCTGGATGAATTTTATGACACGCCTGAGGGGAAGTGTATGGACAGGTTCAAAGTGGGCTCCCCGTGCAATGAAACCGACCAGTGCACATTGAATTCAGTTTGCGACGCCGTCACGCATGAGTGTGCATGCACAGAGACTCACTACAACGAATCTGGACTCTGCCGCAGGAGACTTCTTGTAGGGGACATAACCAAACCGGGAGACGTGTGTCAGAGTTCCCACCAGTGTACCCAGAATGCCGAGTGCAATTCGCTCACCAGGCAATGCGAATGCCTGCCGCATTTCTACAATGAAACGGGGGTTTGCAAGAGTAGAGTCCCTTCAAGGCAGTTGTGTAAAGAAGATTACCAGTGCACGCTGAACGCCAGCTGCAACCTACTGGCCAGGGAATGCCAGTGTTCACAAGGCTACTACGACGACCAGAGCGGCTTGTGCCAGGAAAGGCTGACAGCTGGCTCAACATGCAATGAGACTCACCAATGCACTTACGATGCAGAGTGTGTCATTCCTAAACTTAGACCCAAGCCATGGTTCAACACAACCAGTGGTTCTGTGGTTGGTAGTCCAGACAGCTTAATTTGTGAGTGTAAAGATTTGTTTTACACAAATGGAACAAAATGTCACCCATGTAAGTTCATTCTGATTTGTAAAAAAAACTATATTTACCATTCCCTACCTTTTTTTTAGTTATATTATTTTTAAAGTATTTGAACAATTAATATGAACTTAATTGAAGACCCTGGCGCTAAACCTAAAAAGTACTTAATTCATAATAAATATGAACTTAATTGAAGACCCTAGCGCTAAACGTAAAAAGTACTTAATTCATAATAAATATGAACTTAATTGAAGACCCTAGTGCTAAACGTAAAAAGTACTTAATTCATAATAAATATGAACTTAATTGAAGACCCTAGCGCTAAACGTAAAAAGTACTTAATTCATAATAAATATGAACTTAATTGAAGACCCTAGTGCTAAACGTAAAAAGTACTTAATTCATAATAAATATGAACTTAATTTAAGACCCTAGCGCTAAACGTAAAAAGTACTTAATTCATAATACATATGAAGTTAATTTTTTTTTTAAATGTGTTTAGGCTTTTTAAAAAAAATGATCACAAGATCTTCCCCTTTTGAGTGGTTCTCATATTTAGCAACATGTTCTTGGCCTCCTCAGCTAAAGGACCCGGAAAGCCTTGCACAGGCTTAGGGCAGTGTGTCCACAATGCAGAGTGCCAGACCCCCTACGGCGGTGTGTGTCTATGCTTTGAGACTCACTATTCTGATGGGAATTCATGTCCACAAAAGAAGCCCCCCATGGAGCCTTGCACACAAGATCATCAGTGTGTTTTTAACTCATCCTGCGACAAGGTGGAAGGTAAATAATTTTATTGTTTCACTACTTTCTCATTGTTCATTTTTATTTGGACCAGCTTACTTCTTTTTTTTTTTTTAGGTTTAAATATCTTTTTTTTCACTTAGAACCAGGAAGATGACTGTCAAGTTCTGGTTTTGTATATTACTCCACCAATGGTGGAGATGGCCAATGGGCATGCAAGAGTTAACTAATGGGCATGCTAGAGTTGACCAATGATGGCATGCTAGAGTTGACCAATGGGCATGCTAGAGTTGACCACTGTGGTATGAATGCTACAGGACACGACCCTTTGATTCATTGCGTGGTGTTCTCAGGATACAAAAGCCCGTCCAGTGAAATTATAAAAGAAGTCTGGGAACATAATTAAGAATTCTCACAGTCCATAGTGGTGTGCATTTCTGGTCGGACAGCACTACCCACTGAAATCCTCCACTCATATGGTGTCAAGGGGAAACTCTTAATGTAGTAAATAATTGAGAGATGTCAAAGAGGGTTATGCATTCTTCCAATCCAGCTTAATTGAGCTTTTTAGACTTATTTTAATTATTTTGTGATTACTTTTTTCAGATGTTTGCAGATGTAAAAAAGGATTTTTTGAAACCTCCACCGAATGTGTTTCCAGCATCCCGTCTGGCAAAAACTGCACATCCCTTGGTCAGTGTGTGGACTTTGCTGAGTGTGACCTGGCCAACCAGACTTGTCTCTGCAAGGGGGATTACTTTGATGCCGGCGGATCTTGTCACAAGAAGATTGGTGCTGGAGATCCGTGCAGCAGGGTGGGCCAGTGTGTAAACAACTCCTGGTGTAACTTAACCAAACTGGAGTGCGAGTGCTTCTCAAGTTTTTACAATGATTTGGGCGTTTGCAAAATCAGAATCAAGCCAGCGAAATTCTGTGACAACTTCGGGCAGTGTGTACACAATGCCGAATGCGACATTCAGACAAATTTGTGTGCGTGCAGACAGAACTTCTACAGGAGTGGGGAAGAGTGCATACCCAAGATTGGCGCCGGAAAAAATTGCAGTGAACAGGGTCAGTGCACGCATAATGCAGACTGCGACTTGGCGAAGAAAGAATGCGAATGCCGATCAGAATACTACAACAAAGATGGACTTTGCGTTGTGAGGATACAGTCAGAGCAAAAATGCACAGCTTTAAATCAGTGCATCAAGAATGCTGAGTGCAACTTGACCTCAGGGCAGTGTGAATGTCTCGTCGGCTTCTTCCCCAGGAACGGCGAGTGTGCAGGATTACTTGACCAAGGGTCAGTCTGTGACCGAGAAGGTCAGTGCACATTCAATTCCTCTTGCGAATTTGTAAGTAAGTATGTCAAGAACTGTCTTTGCCACACAGGCTTCTACGTGGACAAAGGAAAGTGCCAGGAGAGAATCGGAGCCAAACTCCCGTGTCAAGGTTTTGGGATGTGTGTGGCTAATGCTGAGTGCCAGGCGGCTACAAGCCTGTGTGAGTGTCTTACAGGATATTTTGCACAAAGTCACAACTCTAGCAAAAGTACTTGTGAAGAGCTGATTGAGCCTGGGGAATCTTGTGAACAAAACGGAACTTGTGTTGAGCACGCTCTTTGTTCATCCAACGGCACCTGCCAGTGTGAAGACAGATATTTCAGCTTTGGAGGTAACTGCAAGCCCCTTACTCTTCCCGAGAGGCCATGTGATCCTGTGGCCGACAAGTGTGTGACCAATGCCCAATGTGTGCCAAGTGACGGTAACGGCGTCGGGCCCACGGTTGACCAATCGATGGTTTTTTACCCGAGGTTAAATGCTCAAGCGGTCACCATCTGTAAATGCGCTGCCAACTATTTTCCTCTCAACGGGGCGTGTGTGACAAATAAGAAGGCGGGGGAGAAATGTTGGGGAGTGGGCATGTGCATCACCGGCGCTGTCTGCTCTGCCATCGATGGCTGGATCTGCAGGTGTGAGGATAAGTATTATCGTGATGACCTTGACCTCTGCCAACCAAGAGTCATCGCCGGTAAGAACTGCTCTGCACCAGGCCAGTGTATAGCCTTCGCCGAATGTAACTTGAATTCATCCACTTGTGTCTGCGACAAGGACTACTACAGAGACAAACAAGACATCTGCCAGCCGAGGATCAAAGCAGATAAGGCGTGCACAAACATCGGCCAGTGCACCCACAACGCTGAATGCGAGGGCAAGACCATGACCTGCCTATGCAACACGGAGTTCTACAATGAGGCCGGGAACTGCCTTGACAGGAAGAAAGCTGGGAGGGAATGCCTCAGACCGGGCCAGTGCGTGGTCAACGCCGAGTGCGACAATCTCACCGGCTTCTGTCAGTGTGACACAGGCTTCTACAACGAGGGTGGCGTGTGCGCCACCCTGAAGCCCGCCGGAGAGGTTTGCAAGCTAACCTCCCAGTGCACCTTCAACGCGGACTGCACAAGTCTGGTCACCACCAACAGCACCCTGTGCAGGTGCAGGGCGGAGTATTTCCCCGAGATGGGAAAGTGCCACCTGAAGATAGGACCTGGGAAGGAGTGCAGAAATCTAGGTCAGTGTGCCAGCAATGCTGAGTGCGACCCCATTAAGTCTATCTGTGAATGCAATCAGGGATACTACCAAGACCTCCTGGACGGTGAGTCAGGCTCTTATCATCTAGGCCTCATAATTTAATCTAAACTTGTGGATTTAGAAAAATATTAATATAATAACTATCTCCCTGCATGCAGAAGTGTCTGATTGTTACTATATCATTTTGATATAAACTTATCAATTCGTTATAACTCGCTAGGTATGAAAGAAAGTATGGCGTAATGGTGAGTCCAATAGCTTACAAAATAAACTCCCCATAACTTCGCTAATGAGATTTTGCGTGATGTATTCTTTAGTTTTATGGAAAAGCCTGAATTTAAATATGGTGTTATAAATCTCAGTGTAGTAGGGAGTGGGGCATTGGAATATTAATTTAGTTAAGGGGCATCAAAATAGATGAACGTTAAAATAACTAGGAGGTGGGGGGTGTGTTGAAATAGCACTAATTGGGAATATTTTAAAGTGCATTACTTAAATGCATGTTTTGCCACGTAACATTGGTAGATGGAAAGTTCACTCATTGGCACCAACATTTTTAGGCGGGCTGTAGCTGGCATCTAAAATTTCACTCATTGCAACCGACATTGTTAGGGGGGCTGTAACTGGTATCTAGATAGATAACAAAACAAAAAACATTCAAGTAAAACATTGTTGAAACTTAAAATTATTTAAGAAATACAAATCAACATGAAATTCTTAAAGTATTATAATGTAGATACTGATAGCTAAAGCTGGTTGTATTATAATGAAGATACTGATAGCTAAAGCTTATTGTATTATAAATTGTAAATACTAATAGCTAAAGCTTATTGTATTATAAATTGTGGATAGCTAAAGCTGGTTGTAATATAGTTGTGGATATCTAAAGCTGGTTGCAAAATAACTTGTGGATATCCATAGCTGGTTGTATTATAAATTGTGCATATCTAAAGCTGGTTGTATCATAAATTGTGGATAGCTAAATATGGTTGTATTATAAATTGTGGATGTCTAAAGCTGGTTGTATTATTAAATGTGGATAGCTAAATCAGGTTGTTTTATAAATTGTGGATAGTTAAATCTGGTTGTATTATAAATTGTGGTTAGCTAAAGCTGGTTGTTTTATAAATGGTGGATAGTTAAATCTGGTTGTATTATAAATTGTGGTTAGCTAAAGCTGGTTGTTTTATAAATTGTGGATAGTTAAATCTGGTTGTATTATAAATTGTGGTTAGCTAAAGCTAGTTGTTTTATAAATTGTGGATAGTTAAATCTGGTTGTATTATAAATTGTGATTAGCTAAATCAGGTTGTATTATAAATTGTGGTTAGCTAAAGCTGATTGTATAATAAATTGTGGATAGCTAAAGCTGGTTGTATAATAAATTGTGGATAGCTAAAGCTGGTTGTATAATAAATTGTGGATAGCTAAAGCTGGTTGCATTGAAAACTGAGCATTAGCCTATTATATGATCTAAAAATAATTGTTTGAGAATAATGACAAATGCAATACAATTTATTTTTTAATTTGCTAGAAATTGTTTGTCTTGTCTCCAGTGGGCAGTCTGCGATAATGTAGATTGATTTTATTTTTAAACATTCAGTAAATAGCCTACATCTTTGTACCGGTACAGGTGACAACAAAGGGACATGCTTGCCTCTTATCAAAGCTAATGGTGTCTGTACGACCAATGGAACTTGTGTGGCCAACTCTGTATGTGATGGTAAGTTCTGTTTGGCCAACTCTGTATGTGATGGTAAGTACTGTGTGGCCAACTCTGCATGTGATTAGGCAGCGACGAGGCCATGACAGGCAATTCAGGCTCATACCAACAAGAAGCCAGTATAGGAGCTGCTCATTCCTGCCCAAGACAAATCAGGGACTGGAACAATCTTTCAAAAGAAACGGTTAAGGCGACAACACTAGACACATTTGTGTCTATTGCCTCAAGCCTTCAAACCCCTAGTGCATGATTCCCTCACAAAGTGGCACTGGAAATCAGTGAAATTTCCTCATCAACACCAGGAACAGAAACATTGCAAATCCCATCTACATGTATAGGAGCCAAAATGATCAATAAATTGATCGTGGGCCCTTAAGATATAGAAGAAGAAGAAGTACTGTGGGGCCAACTCTGTATGTGAGGGTAAGTACTGTGAGGCCAAATCTGTATGTGATGGTAAGTACTGTGTGGCCAACTCTGCATGTGATGGTAAGTACTGTGTGGCCAACTATGTATGTGATGGTAATTTCTTTGTTTGTGGCCAACTCTGTATGTGATGGTAAGTACTGTGTGGCCAACTCTGCATGTGATTGGTAAGTTCTTTGTGTGTGGCCTGTGGCCAACTCTGTATGTGATTGGTAAGTTCTTTGTGTGTGGCCAACTCTGTATGTGATGGTAAGTTCTTTGTGTGTGGCCAACTCTGTACCTGATGGTTAGGTCTATGTAACCAACTATGCATTTGATGGCTAGTCCTATGTGGCTAACTCTGCATTTGATGGTAAGCTCTCTGGCCAACGTATGTAAATTCTTGATGTCTATGGAGTACCACAGATGGAACATTTCATGCCTGATCATTCAACTGTAACACTGTTTTGCCACTTTCAGCCCCACCCAGTGACCATAAGGCTTTAAGTATGGACTTTATACTGTCATATTATTGATATGCAGTTTCCAAACTCAGCTATCGTATAAAGCAATCATTGAAATCAAATTTTAAAACCTCAAATGTCTTAAATATTTCACAATTTTTATCATTTCAATTACAGCTCTTAGCAAAAATATATTTTTTTTAGTCATAACTGTATAATTTAGTGCATTTGTGTAATCTGAAATCTGTAAAGTACACATCAGTAGGTGTAGCTGATCATGAGAAGATTATTGGGGGTTTTTTAGGTGTCAAAACACTTGTGGTTACATTACGAGTACAAGATTTGTAAACCGGATCTCTCTGGTTTTTCTCCTTGCATTATCTATAGCTGCAGTCTCTAAGAGGATGTCATTGTTGGAGCACCAACTCTTTTTACTACACCTAGAGTGCATTCATAACATGCAGCTCTGAGTTGCTTCTTTACTTTATGTTATATATATAAAAATCTATATATTATATCAATCCTATTTTCTTAATAATAATAAAAATTATTTGAAAATCATGCTTCCTCCCCAAAGGCTCGAAGCGCCGTACATACCACATTGAAGCACAAAATGCAACATTACAAAAACTACATATGAGAATACTCATTCTAATTCTTTCAAACCTTGCAACCATAAACAACACAGGCAAATATACATCTACAAGATAATAGCTAGATAGACAGTGTCTGGCTGTTTCTGAGAGTGACAGGAAAGGTGTTCCAAATTGTTTGGCCAGCAAATGCGAAAGTGCGCCCCTCGTAAGTCTCAAGGCAAACACGCGGTATCGAGAGTCTGCCGCTATCAGATGAGCGGAGTTTTCTAGTGGGTACATAAGGCGTGGGTAGTGCTTTGAGGTAGGATGGCACCAGGTCATGCAAGCAGCGTAGCACAGAGTTGCAATTTTGTACTCTATGCGAGCGCGGACCGGCAGCCAATGCAACTCTCTCCGATGTGTTTTAGCATGGTCGAACTTGCGTTTTCTTGTGCTGATTATGATTTTTAAACTCAGCACCGTTTTCTTGAATTTCAATCTCAATCTGTTGACAGGAGGCACCTGCTCTTGTGTAGACCAATACTATGCCAGGGATGGGCAGTGCCTGGGCTTCCTGAAACCTGGGGCACCCTGTGATGAGAAAGACACCTGTGTGAAGCTCAGCACCTGTGACAAAGTCTCCAATACATCAGGGAGAACAGAATGCATGTAGGTGCCTTTTTATAAAGATATATAAAATGACTGTTTCTGTCTACTAACTTTTTTGGTCAATAAATCAGGATGTTCAACTGAGATCTTTTCTCACTACTAACATTTTTTGTCAATTAATCAAGATGACCAACTGGGACCTTTTCTCACTACTAACATTTTTGTCAGTGAATCAGGCTGACAAGCTGAGATCTTTTCTCACCACTAACATTTTTTGTAAATGAATCAGGATGACCAACTGAGACCTTTTCTGGCTACTAACATTTTTTGTCAATTAATCAAGATGACCAACTGGGACCTTTTCTCACTACTAACATTTTTGTCAGTGAATCAGGCTGACCAGCTGAGATCTTTTCTCACCACTAACATTTTTTGTAAATGAATCAGGATGACCAACTGAGACCTTTTCTCGCTACTAACATTTTTTGTCAATTAATCAAGATGACCAACTGGGACCTTTTCTCACTACTAACATTTTTGTCAGTGAATCAGGCTGACCAGCTGAGATCTTTTCTCACCAGTAACATTTTTTATAAATGAATCAGGATGACCAACTGAGATATTTTCTGACTACTAACATTTTTTGTCAATGAATCAGGATGACCAACTGAGACCTTTCTCACTACAAATATTTTTATTCTGTATCAGGGTAACAATTAACTTAGATTAAGTCAAGAGAATTATTGCCAGCAGAGTCTTGTTAGCATGAGATGCAACAGTCATGTTAGCATGAGATGCAGCAATCTTCATGATAGGCCCTTGACTGCAAGCTGCTGAGGTGCCCATAGAGTTTCTTGGGCAATGGTGCTGGCTAGGGCATTATGCTCTCTCACTGCCCAGGCTGTGATGCCATGTTCTGTGTTTATTATTTCATCCTACATTTTTCACACGTCCCTTGTGTTGATCTTCAATGTGTTTTACAAAGGTCAGTGGTGACACTATTGCTTATGGCCATTGAGGGGATGGGAATCTGGCCTGAGATTGCTCCTTGACAACTGGTGCTATTCTTGTGATCTGTCTGCCATTTTTTTCTCTCGCTAGAGAGTGACTACATCTAGGGAACCTACGATGTCTTGTAACATTTTTTTACTGCCTGTCAACTTGTTTGACATTTGTGTCCCCCAGTTGTGTCAGCGGCTACTTTGTTCACAAAGACGAATGTGTTGAAGTTCACAAAGCCGGGCAGCCATGTAATGGAAGAGGTCAGTGTGTCCTTGGTGCAGAGTGTCGGGCAGACCTAGGATGGATGTGCACGTGTGGACCAATGTTTTATGAAGACTCGTACGGAGTATGTTACAAACGTGAGTCTGTTCTGTTTTGTTCAAATTTGCTATGAGGATTTGATGGCCAATAGTTTCATAATATGGAATGTGGTTTATAGAAATGTAACCCTCTAAAAAAAGAAAATTTTAAAAGGCCAAAAATCAGCTGGCATTTTATTTTATTTGTTCAGTGAAGAGACATATTGTTTAGTAGACTATTTATAACCATATCTTAGTGGACTATTTTTAAACAAATGTTAGTGGACTATTACAGACATATATAAGGGGACTATTTTTAAACAAATCATAGGGGACTATTTATAAACAAATCTTGACCTTGACTATCATGTGCTTGTAACTTGACCAACTTGAATGTTTCCCAGACAGACCTTGACCTTGACTATCATGTGCTTGTAACTTGACCAACTTGAATGTTTCCCAGACAGACCTTGACCTTGACTATCATGTGCTTGTAACTTGACCAACTTGAATGTTTCCCAGAAAGACCTTGACATTGACTAAAAAAATCATGTGCTTGTAACTTGACCAACTTGAATGTTTCCCAGACAGACCTTGACCTTGACTATCATGTGCTTGTAACTTGACCAACTTGAATGTTTCCCAGACAGACCTTGACCTTGACTATCATGTGCTTGTAACTTGACCAACTTGAATGTTTCCCAGACAGACCTTTACCTTGACTATCATGTGCTTGTAACTTGACCAACTTGAATGTTTCCCAGACAGACCTTGACCTTGACTATCATGTGCTTGTAACTTGACCAACTTGAATGTTTCCCAGAAAGACCTTGACATTGACTAAAAAAATCATGTGCTTGTAACTTGACCAACTTGAATGTTTCCCAGACAGACCTTGACCTTGACTATCATGTGCTTGTAACTTGACCAACTTGAATGTTTCCCAGACAGACCTTGACCTTGACTATCATGTGCTTGTAACTTGACCAACTTGAATGTTTCCCAGACAGACCTTGACCTTGACTATCATGTGCTTGTAACTTGACCAACTTGAATGTTTCCCAGACAGACCTTGACCTTGACTATCATGTGCTTGTAACTTGACCAACTTGAATGTTTCCCAGACAAACCAGCAGGCTCACCCTGCAATGCAACATACGAGTGCACAACTGAGGCAGAGTGTCGTGACGATGCCAACAGTGTAGATCAAGCAACAACCGACAAGGATGAGGTTCTGTGTCGCTGTCTCAAATCCTATGTGGCCGTCAATGGACTTTGTGTTGGTGTGTGCAGAGCCTAGCCTTAAATGAAATCTGTTTTTCGTCTATTGTAGTTTTATTTTTTTCTTAACACTTATGCCTCGATGTCTAGCATGACAAATAATTCGGCATGCCTGTAGGCATCTGTTATAGAGATTTGAAGAAAAATGAAAGATTCATTGCAGATCTAACTTGAGATTTTATGTAATTTTTTTTGTAAAGAAAGTAGGATGGTGTAAGTCAAAATGATTTGATAATTAATTTTTTTGTCATCTGCCTCATTTGGGCAGGATATTTTTTTTTAAATTACTTTCCGGTTAATTGTCTTTTACAATGTCTTTAACCAAAAGACTTTAATATTGTGGGAAGTGTTTAACAATAGAAATATTGTGCAACTATAGAAATTTTATATTGTGTTGCTATAGAAATATTATATTGTGTAACCATAGAAATATTATATTGTGTAACTCAATAAATGTCATTCCGTGGAATCATTTCAACTCTGCTAACCTGATAACGTCTGGCTTGTTTCAGGCGATCCAACTGTTGGTGATGAGGAAGGTGTGCCCTCAATCGTCCTAATCTCCTCCATCATTGCCGCCCTCTTCCTCCTCCTGTTGCTCTTTGCTCTATTCCTCATTTTGTTCAGGAGGAGGAAACAGAAGTAAGTAGATAATCCTGATCTATTGTATGAGATTCCTCATTGTCGCCCAAGATGTTCATTAAAAATATATCCAGCTATTCCGGGGGAGCCAAGATGCATCTGAAGTGTACGACATGTCATAAAGTTAGTCCCATCCAACGCTTGATTGCAGAGACAAAAGATATACCGTAATGCCACTCTGGTGCCCCCCCCTTGCAAAAATGCTACATTGCTGCCAGCATAAAAATACTTTGTTAACATTTGAAAGCTCTAATTCTTAAATCCTAGCCAGCTGTTTTAGTTATCTGAACAATTATAATCTTTAGTTTTGTATATATAAAAAAATTCACACTTTCTAAGGATTTCATTCCTATTTAAATGTAACTTTAAAATGATTACATAGTAAAATGACGATTTTGAGATTTCACTCAAATGGTAAAATGGCATTAAAATTAAATTTTCCAGTTGCGTAAGTTGTTACACCTTCGGCTGTAATTGATTTGAAATGTCTGCCAATTACTGTATTCATAAATCATATGTAAGGCAGTTGATTTTAAATGTCTACCAATTATTGTATTGTTAAATCATATGCGATGTATTTGATTTTAAAGGTCTATCAATTACTGTGTGTGTGTTGCAGGCGTCAAGCAGCAGAGGAATCCATGAGTTCAATGTCTGACAGTGGCAGCATGGCCAGTACCCTCAAGCCACCACGACCTTACCTGGGATACGCTGTGCCTTTCTACATGCCCCCTCCCCCCTCCATTAACAGCGGCAACGGGAAAGCACCAGGGTCCGATCTGGCTCTGGAATTCTACAGGACCAAGAAGGGGTCAGGGGTCAAAGGTCAAGATGTCATCAGTGCCTCGATGAACTTGGATGAAGAAGACATTTAGACGGTTTTGATAGAAAACAGATGATAAAGTGATAAGACGTATCTGTTTTTCTTTTAGCTAATTTATTTGCGCCATCAAATTAATTTTCTTCATTTAATACATGTTTAAAAAGATTTAATGTTGTTACAGTTACTTTGAAAGTTTATGTTCAAGGTAATTGTAGATAAATATTTGTTAATATAATTTAACTCTATATACTTTTGAACAAAATATTAAAAATAATTAAAATAATAATTTTTTAATATGTCTTATACAGGCTTTTTGAGTTAATTTGGAAAGATTAAATTATTGAAGGGAAAAAAAAATATAGTTGCAAATGTTTTTAACATTAAAAAAAGGAAATGTGTGAAACAAAGTATGGGAAAACCTGAAAAAAAGGAATGCAACAAAATAACGAACGTGTTGGCAAGAAGCCTTCATTAGCGAACAAACAACAGTAAAATCAGAATTAAATAAAATAGCATTTAGCTGAAAAGTACAAGATATTTCCTGAAACTGAACTAGTCTCCGCTTAGTGTTGATTGAATTGTAATGTACAAATAAGTTGATGAAATACATTTTTTTTAAAACAATGCATTTTATCCCAATGATTTTATCATTGAAATGCTGCTTGTGAGAATGGATGCTTGTTTGAATGTTAGCTGCTGTCTCATTTGCTGACTTTCTTGTTGCTATGCTTTGATATACAAATTTATAGATTCAGTGTTATTAATTGGAACATGTAGAATGTATATTTACATTTCATGCTGCTGATTTTAAAAAAACAAAAACAAAATAATTAATGCCCTTAAGAAATTGTTTTCTTTAAATTACAGATCTTTTAGGATTTGTAATTTTTGTTTAAATACTATTTATGTTTTGTATGTTTCACCTTATATTGGCATATCATGTTATGGACTAAAACTTACATGTGTATATATTAACAACTATAAGACTATTTTCAAATACAAGTTTTTAACCGTACTTGTCTAAATATGTGAATAAAAATTATTGAAAATGAATTAAAGTAGAACCTTGATTTATTCTTTTGTTATTCGGTTCAATAAGTTCTATTTTTAATATTATTCCACAAAACTTTGAGCCAACGAGCCCAAACCGAAAGCCAGAATAGAATCACATTTTAATTATAGGAAAGTAAAGGGCCATGTATAAACTCAAAGTAATTAGCATTACAGAATATCCTTGAAATACTCAAGTAATTTGTCAGTTACATTTTGTAAAAAATTAAATAGATTCTTCTTTTATTAAGACTGATGCCGAAGTTATTTTCATTTTGTATAAAAGTAAGAGACGACACTGAACGTCTAATACATATACAGGGAAGCAATAACCAACATTTTTGTGCGAAATCTTCCCAGAGGTTTGATTTTATTTTGTAAAAGTCTGGTAGAGTTGTAGCCTTCTGTTTTCAGATGAATGAAATTTAAAGTAAAACACATCAAGCAGTTGAGTAAAAAAAATGTTTCAGCCAAATTTCAAGGAGTTTATAGGGAGTTTTCACATATAATAATAATAATAATAATAGCTGGAAATAACCAGCCTAGCTGGCAATTCACATTGTAACAATCCCAATCAGTCCTAACTTCTGGTAATTTAATGTTTATTATTTTTTTCTATTGTAACAAAAAAATACATAATAAAGAATTTGTATATTTATGAATAGATCGAAGCATATTTATTTTGCAAGATTTAAATTGATTAACTTACCTTAAAAAACAAATCTCATAATCAGTTTTTAAAAATAGGAATGGTATCTGCTGCCTCTGTTGAACACACATGTGGGCGCCATTTAGTGTGCTTTGGGGGCATTGTATTTTGCACGCTATTCAACATAGCATTACAGTCAGCCATGCAAACATACATACAAACACCAGGAGAATTATTGTTTGTGATTAATCTATTCATCGTCTGATATCAAACAAGATATCTTATCTTAATTAACAATATCAATAACTCCACCTTTGATTTAATTATAATATTCATATCAGGCAAGCGTGGTGTAAAAATTTGGATAGGTGTGACCAGTGGCGTAGCTAGGGTTGGTGTCACCCGGTGTGGTAAACTCATGGTGTCACACCCCCACCCCCCACCCCCCCCAATTTTTTTTTTTTGCTGATTTTTTTCCTCTTATTTTTTTTTTTTTTTTTTTGGACAGTTTTAAAGGCTCGCAATAAACCAAGAGAAAATGATTAAAATATTGTTTTTGTTGTTTAAATCGGTGACTGCAACAAACTGTTTTACTATAATTGTTTTGCGGTAAACTATTTATCAACTCGTGAAACGGCTTCATTTCTAGAATAAGCCTACATTATTATAATTATTATTTTTCCTGCTCATTTGCATTTCCAGAACTTCGAAACTTTTATTTATTTTTGGTGACTTCTGTTTTTTCCCTCTTCTCTATACTTGATGTATTGTTATGCTCAGTTGACAAGATCTAATTTTTGTCAAATTGTTTTATTCACGCTTTTTTTGTGTGTTTCAAAATAGTGCGTTTAAACGGGAATTTTAAGTCAATTTGACGAAAATTTGATCGTGTGAAGTGAGAATAGTATCTTATAATATAATTCCCTCTTGGAGGTTGTTCGCCTTCAGTGCGCACCATTATGGGTAAGGAGGAGATGCGGCCTAGCAGTGGCGTAGCTAGGGTTGGTGTCACCCGTTGCGGTAAACTCATGGTGTCACCCCCCCCCCCCCCCTTCCCTACTTTGGGTTCACCCCCCCCCCCCCCATTTCCATGATTTTTTTTTTCTTGTTAAAATAAGTCCACCGTATAACAATAAAAAGAAAAAAACAAATAAATCGATGGTCATGAGGTTAATATATTTAAAAACGTTAAATTATAGTCGTATTTACATTAACTTTACTTTATTTAAAAAAAATTTCCCTTCCTTGTCTTCAAAGATGCAAATCTGTCAATCGCTTGATCAAAATCAATGTTGTTCACTGTATCACTTTCAATTGATAGCAGAGCCGCATCAGAAATCCTTGACTGTCACATGGTGGATCATAAATATTTCTTGATAAGCTTTAGCTTTGAAAAGCTCCGCTCACATGAAGCCACATGCAGACATATCGTAAGAAAAAATTAAAGGTAGCGAGAGTATTGGAAGAGATTCTAGGAAGTCCCATTCAGCTTTGAATTTCAAAACATGAAATACTGACCAGTCCATGACTTTGAGAAATCAGCTGCTTTTAGATGTCTTCTAAGCCTTGTTATTTATTTTTAAAGTTCATCTTCTGATAACTCATCATTGAAAGAAGTTAATTTTGGAACGGACAACAATAAATCTTCTTCACTTGCTGATACTTGACTCTTGGGTTGAACAGACCCAAACATATCTGGTACTTCCTTGATCACTGATGATCTGATGTGGCGTTCAGAATGAAAGCGATCAATACACTCCAGCATCTCCTTACCGTTTTCTTCTCCCAGAAAGAGTCCAGCATCTATTAATTAATAGTTCTTCTGCAATTCTCTTCATATACCTTAATCTTCTCTTTAACGAAATTCCAGATTGGTCTGATTTTAAAAGTGCCGCCTTTTCAATAGCATGTTCCACCAAGTGACGACGCTTCTCGTGCAGAAACAATCTTAAGGCCTCTAGGTTTAGCATCACTAAATCTGCAGATACTGCTGTGTAAGATTAACTTCCTCAAGTAGATCAGCCCAAAGTTAAATGTAGCAGATAAACGTGAAATCACAGACAACATGTAAAAGATCTTGTGCTTAACCTCTTGTATGCAAATTTTTACAAGGTGATGACATAGAGCTTTAATCGCCTCCCAACATTCATCAAAACATATCTTTCACTGTTTTGATAGCAGCATGATGAACACACCAACGCGTTGACTGTCTTTTCACCGACATTCCAGTGTGTTCAATTAGAACATTCCATCGATTATTGGATGCAGCAAAGAAGGAAAATATTATTTCAAGAGTACCGAATAATGTAATACATGAAGCATTTTCTGCAAAAGAGTGTTGACCACACAAGTGAATGGGCCACACATCCTTTAAAATGTGCTTTCTTATTATTTATTTTCCGAATGGCTTGAACACCTCCATGGATTCCATACATTAGGGCAGCATTATCGTAACCCTGAGCTCTAAACATCAGTATGTCTAGTTCATCACGCTTTAATTTGTAAGAATGTCAGAACTGAGGTCATCAGCTTTTTTTTCAATCTTAACGGGAAAAATGCAAGAAACACTCCTCTCACTTCAACTTTCCCATTGTGGACTATCACATATCTGATCACTACAAACATCTGGTCACTGTGTGATAAATCAGGTGTACTTTCGAAAATAATTCCAAAATACTTCGCAGGCTTTATATCCATGATAAGAATCTCCTTCACATGATTTGCAAGGACACATATAAATTTATTTTGGGTTTCTGGTGAAAGGTAAGATACCTTTTGGGTTTCGATATATAATATTATATATGTCTTCAAAAAACGTTTCTTTATTTAAATAAAAAAAAAGAATTAATCATTAAAAGATTGAAAACAGTGTAAAATAATATATTTTTAACCCTATAAATGGTTCAATGTTTTTAATTTTTACCGATTTTTATACTTATAACCGCCCGACCACACTTATTTGGTATAAATGGAAAGCCCTATTTCTCAGAATTTAGATAAATATAGCCTCCTGTCACTTAAAGAAGTTACCGAACACTTCAATCGGCATGGAATGATGACTGTGTTTTTCTGACCTAAACATAGGGTCATCACATTTCTGACGCTTCAACCTTGAACTTTTAGTAAAGCACTCCCCTCTCCCCGCACCCCCTCGCTACGCCACTGGGTGTGACTGGCATTACTTAACATGAAAGACATGAAATGATTTTGAAACATAAGGTAAGCAGCCTTTAGTAAGTTTTTAATTCACTTTGGTAACAGGCTTTTAAAACCACAACAACTACAAATCACATGCAGCAAAAAATAATCTTTTAGTAAGTTTTTAATTCACTTTGGTAACAGGCTTTTAAAACCACAACAACAACAAATCATATGCAGCAAAAAATAATCTATCTGTAAATAATGTTCGGTATGGTCATAGAAAAA